CAATCCCTTCTCCATTCTCCTCTTGGGATCTTGGGCACGCACGCACATGCACCTGGCGTGAGTTTTAAGCCACCGGGTCCGGGACGTGAACCACGGTTGACTATGTGGGAGTCCAGCCACACAGCCATTACGCTAACTGCTGGTTCCCTTGCATACTTGTTCTTAATCAGGTTTCTGAATCCCAAGGTTCTAGTCGTGTGACCCTTTTCTTTTCTTTCAAAAATTTTAGTTTGCTAGAGGACACATGAACTTGACCGGGGGGTGGGTGGGTAGTGAGAAAGCACCATCCATGGGGCCTGGTCACACTGCAGTCCCTTCTCCTTCATTTCTCCTTTTGGGATTTTGGGCATGCAAGCACACACGTTTCTCAAGCCTCCAGGCTAGGACTGAACTGTCATCTGGCCATATGGAATCCAGCAAACTTAACCATCCACCACCAGTTTGTCCTTGTCACTCTTTTTCTTAAAAATCTTCATTGGGTTCCCATTTATTGCATTTTGTAAAAACTAAAGCACTGATAAATAAACCAGATTTTCATTTGTCAGAGGGTGTGCGAGGTCACCAGAGAGAGAGGAGAGAGTACCTCTCTCCTTCCAATAGGGCATGGTCAGTCACAATCCTTTTTATCCATTCCTCCTTCCCTAAGGATTTTGTGCACTTGCACACTAGGTACCGGTGTGTTTTTCAAGCTGCTGGGGCTGGGATTCCAAATAGCGTTGACCATATGGAATCTGCTTTCCACCTCAGTGCTAACCACTTAATCATTTAACCACTTAATCACTGTACTACCTCTGACTCAATAAATTGGAATCTTACATTGTAATCAAGGCAGTTTAGGAAATGCAGATACCTGAATTAAAATCTTCAGATGTATTTAAACAACAAAACCATAAAACTATGCAGGAGCATCTGATGCATTTGGTTGCTGGATCAGTGGGATTATTAGAACAAAGCACAAAGTTTCAACCCGATATTTAAGGCCCCTCACAGTGGCTCTCCAAGGTACCTTTCCAGCCCCATTTCTTACACATCAGTGTAAATGGAATTCTTGCTGACTGTCCTGAGTGCCCCTCAACAGCTTCCAGTTGCATCTTTTGATCTTTGAAGCCCAGTCTCTATGAAACATTCACAGCCAGACGTGATCCCTGAACTCAATTCTATGAACTGATTTTCTGCCTTATTTCATACTTTCGGATTCCCCAGCACCCTCACCCCCACCCAATCCCTACTGTGATGTCTGTCAGCAGACACCTGGTCTTCATTCGCGCCTACGGAGCCTTTTGCACGTTGTGGCAAAGGTGTTAAGCACGCATTTGTAGGATCAGTGCCATCCCCTGACTTGATAATCACGCTACATGTAGTGTCGTTAACTATTCCTGGCTTATAGTGGGCTTTCAGCACGTGTCTGTGGATTCAATGAGCAAGTGAACGGAGCCCAGCCTGACAAGGCCCAGAGAACTACCAATCCCAGGGGACATTGCGCGAACGACGGCGGGCGCGGTGACGTAAGGGGGCGTGGCGAGCCTGAGGGAGGGGTCGTCCTGCGGGTGGCTGGAGGCTGGGGCTGCGGTGGAGCCTAGGGTGAGAGAGAGTGTGAGGGAGCGAAAGGTGAGCCGGGCTGCAGGAGGGGACGCGCTGCCGGGCGCCCCCAGTCTATGGATCGCGGTAAGATGGCGGAGGCGGAGAGCCTGGAGACAGCCGCGGAGCACGAGCGGATCCTGCGAGAGATCGAGAGCACAGACACGGCCTGCATCGGGCCCACGCTCAGGTACCCCGGGGACCCGGGCCACCGACGGGCGAGCACGGGCGGGACAGGAGGGCAGTCTCCCTGGGGTCGGTGCGCCGGCTCCGCCCTGGGGGAGACCCGCCAGCGCCGGCATCCTGGGCGAGGCGGGTGTGCCGCCACAGCCCGACGTGGGGTCTCTCCCGATCGCCCGCCCCACAGCCCGGTTACTCAGGAGGCGCCTTCTGCCTCCCTCGAGGCTGGGGCAGCCTTCGTTCTCCGTCCGAGCCTAGCCCCGCGCCGGGGAAGTGAGCGCCGGATAGACGGTGGCTCTCAGCAGATCTTCCCCTGGGGACATCACTCTGTTCCCTCAGAGTCCAACCCGGTCCTGCCCTAGACGTTAAGTCTTGCTCTTTAGACAAAACAGCGTTCCCCCCACGGTCTGTTGCTCGGAATGAAACTCTTGCTTCAGAGTCACAACCACTTCTCAAAAAGGAGTCTCGGAAAATCCTAGGCCCTGGAAGTAAGTTTCCCTCAATCCACGCCCCTCTTCTGGGAGCCAGTGCTTGTAAAACCCGTTAGGAAGACGACCCCACCCTCCCACCCGCTAAGGTGCAGGTTTAGGGTATGGCATCGCTGCAGAAAATTTACTGTGGCCTCTCGGTTACCTTTGCACACGCCTCCATTTTATTCGGAGATGTCAAAACAAACCCCAACCTACCTGAACTTATTTAGCAACATTTCGGTAGCACTTGTTATGTCCAGTGCAAGGCATTGTATTAAGTGGTTTACAGAAAATCACTGACTTAAATCACGAAACACTCCTATTAGAAAGGTTTTGTTATTCCTCTCACTTTACAGACGAGGCACAGAGAGATGAAGAGGCCCAAGGTCATAGAGAAAAAGCAAGAGACTTGAGATTCCTACTCAGGCAGTGTGGATCCAGACACTTGGCCTGTTGTTCTACCTTAGTTGAGAATTACCATCTCTCTGCACATAACTCACCAAGCCTAATTTTGAACTACTTTTCCCTTCCCACTCAGATTCCTGGTACCTTAAAATGAACTCATCCTGTTTCTTCTTACCGTGTGTTCTGATGTCTCTGCAGTCAATAGATAGATATTACCTTCTCTTCCTTGGAGAGTCTTGGGTCTCTGCTCCTCTCTGGTTTGCTGTAGAGCATGTGTGCTGGCCAGAGAGACATAGAGAGGGAAAGTGAGGACTCACCTTTTAAGAAGGGGTGGCCACTCTGCAGACCCTTCTCCATTTTCTTCTCAGGATTTTGGGCAGGCATGCACATGAGCCCTGCATAATTTTTTTTTTTTTTTGAGAAGCCTTTTCACTATAGGGCGCGTGTGCTCGCCAGACAGACAGAGAGAGACAGCGAGACAGAAAGCGAGAAATCACCCCCCAGGGGGTATGGTCACACCGCAATCCCTTCTCCTCCGTTCTCCTCTCGGGATCTTGGGCATGCATGCACACGCGCCAGGCGTGAGTTTTAAGCCACCGGGTCCAGGACGTGAACCACGATCGACTACATGGGAGTCCAGCGACATAGCCATTACACTAACTGCTGGTTCCCAGCCCTGCGTAATTTTTAAGCGGGTGGTCTGAGACATGAGCTCCACTGTTGGCTATGTGGGATCCAGCTGTGTGACCTCCACACCACCTGCTGAGCTTCTGCTTGCTTTTTCTTGGGGATAGTTGCCTATGACAGAGTGACTAAGGAAGAAAGGCTGGGGACATTGTTCCTCATACCCACCTGCACAGTTTCCTTCTCCAGGACTCATTGCTCATTGCAGTTCTCCTAGTGCTATCCCCGAACATAACCATCCTTCCTATTTTGCCTTTTGGCCCCTTTAAGTGACTTTGAGCTCCCTTTTTGGACTAGTTCTTGCATACAATTGTGCCCCTCCTCATCAATGCATTATGACTGTGTCCGTAATGCTCCTATTTCCTATTTTCTTAAGCTCTTACGGGTCAATGACCTTTATTTTGTAGTCTTTACTTTTATGAAAACTCTCTCTCTCTGTCCAAGATTTTACTAAGTATGTCTACAGATGGCAGCTTGGTAGCACTCCCACTGGAACAGTTGGGATTATCTGAGTTTTTAGGAGGAATTCTTTATCAGTACATTAGTACTGTCAGTGTTGTCTTGATATGCGTTTGGTTTTCAGTTGCTGTCATTCTTGTTTTGCATGATAAATGACTTTAGTTTAGTGGTATACAGTTAGTTGTGATTTATTATGTTAGCCAACCACTGAATAATGACATATACTTGTATCAGCTGAATTTTGGCCTGTAATTTTCTAGTATTAGAACTTTAAGATCATATGTGGCACAGTCACAGTGGTGCAGGGAGCAGCATGGTGCTCTGTGGGGTTGGAAGATGTACGGCGGGCTGCGGGTTTGGATCCCAGGTTGACTTGAAATACTCCTAGTGCGTGTACCCAAGATCTTGACTAGCAGGAGTATTGGGGGAAAGGGATTGTGGCATGATGAGACCCTGTTGGGAGGGCCAGTCTCTTCCTTTTTGTCTTTCTCTCTTTCTGTTTCTCTGTCTCTTGCTCTCATGAAAGAAATAACTAAACTGTGAAGAAAATAAAACAAGAGTATATGTGTTATGGGCCCCACGATGATAATATGTGCTGGTAGATGCTGTTACATGGCAGCCAGAAGCCATATGTGATGCCTGGATTTGATTCCAGGTCCGTGCTAAGCTGGCTGTGGTGGCGCGCAGCTGTAGTCTCAGCTACAGGGCAGAAAGATCTCAGCATAGCAAGGCCTTGCTTAAAAACAAAAAGATAGGACCAGCCAGTGGTGTGGTGTTTAAGGCAACTGGATCCCACATGGCCAACAGTGAGGTTTGAGTCTGGACCCAGTGGCTTGAAAACATGCTGGTGTGTGTGTGTGTGTGTGTATGTGTGTGTATGCATATCCACATGCCCAGATTCCTGAGAGGAGAAGACATTGTGGGGTGGTTATTTCCGTGGGGAGTGCTTTCTTACTTTTTCTCTCTGTCTTCAGAGAGCCTATAGCAAATTAAAACAAAACAAAACAAAAAAATAAAAAAAAAGAATATATACACTCTGGTTCACATATAAATTAGACATTCCCCATAAAATTTGTTTCATTGTTATTACAGTTTTTTCTACTAGAAAGCAGGGATTTTGTGGAAGCAGATGAATTTATGGAACCTTTGCCCCAAGAGGGCACTGTAAAAAAAGTTTGCAAACCATTGCACTGTCCTATTAGTTTTAGTTGCTCTTCCTGACGCCCTGTATCATTATTAGGGGCTGTTCACTTTTGGTTGCATCTTTTTTGGGGCTTATAATCCTAAATCTTATTGTCAGACCCAAAGTTCAATTTTTTTGAACAACAGATAAGTATTACCCACCATCTTTGTCCGTAGTTTAGCTGTCCCTGCCCATACTCCTAGAGGATGATCTCACCTTTTTCCTTATCCAATTCAGAGGCAGCAACATGCACAGACTTGATATCTTAGTTCCCATGCCTTGCTGTGGATGCACTGCCATTGTCATCTCCCGTTTTTCCATCACAGTCATTGAACAGGTTCGACTAAGACTGTAGGATCCTTCCTAACTACCCTAATTGGTAAATCTCAAGCTCTTTTGCATATCTTCATAACGTGTCTTTCCTATATCTTTCATCTTTTGAAGTAACATTTTTAAGGCACCAGATTTTTATCTATTCATAAGGATTTCTTTTTTTTTTTTGGAGAGGTTTTATTTTGCTATAGGGCACGTGCACTCACTGGAAAGACAGAGAGAGATAGAGAGACAGAAAGCGAGAAATCACCCCCAGGGAGGATGGCCGATGACCACACTGCAATCCCTTTTCTTCCATTCTCCTCTCAGGCTCTTGTGCACTCATGCATATGCTCCCAGCGTCCAGGACTCGAACCTCAGTTAACTTCATGGGATTCCAGCGATGTAGACATTACACCAACTGCTGGCTCCCATAAGATAGGATTTCTAACAGAAGAGAAGCTAGAGAATAGAGAGTAACAGTAAATTGATAGCAGATATGAGATTAGTATACCCATCCGTAAAACTGCTCTTGCTCTTTGAAAAAATCCACTTAGCAGTATTGCCTAACAACACATTTTCCTTTGCCAGCTTTTATTTGTGTTTTGGTACCTGCTTGGTTTCCCTGCTGTGATCCCAAATTATTTTTCCAGTTTTATCTCCTTTTGTTTGAGGCATCACAGTGATTTGGCTTTTTCATTATGTAACTATTCTTGGCTTAGTCTTGAACCTATGCGCAATGCTGGTAGATTACCATGTATCTTAAGGGAGTGTCTGTTTTTTCCTTGTAAGTCTGAAAGGCCAGGTATAGCCGCATATGTAGAGGCTGTTGCCTAGCAATTCTTTTGGGAAGCAGCCGTCTCTTCATCTTAAAAATTATTTCATTAACTAAAAGTCTCAATTTTGGAAAGAGGCCCATAAGATGTTAGGGCCTGTCCTGTTTTTAAAATAGTATAGATTCTTGCTGTGTGGTACAAATTCTAAAAGTTGGATCACTAATCACTTAAGAACAATAGCTCCATGTTTTCATTTTTAAAATCCCGTTTCTATATCATTTACTCAGTAGAAGTCATTTCTTCACTTTGCTTTCTGGGTGATAGCAATTAGCACTCAGTCTAATTACTACTTAAGATTTTGTGTTAAAACTTCAAAGTTTAACAGTGAAATAAATTGCCATTTTAAAAATAGCTATATTAAGATATAACTTTTGTTATCATGCAATTTACCCACTTAAGGTGTGCTATTAAGTAGTTTTTTTTTTTTAAAGAGTTACTTGTTTATTTAACTCTATATGTTGCTATTTATTTATTTATTTATTTATTTATTTTAATTTTGACCAGAAAGAGAAAGAAAGGGAAAGTGAGAAAGCAAGCTGCCAGGTCTGGGACTCAAACTGTGGTTGGCCATGTGAGAGTCCAGCACCTGAACCACAATGCCATCTGCCAGCCCTAACTAAGTAGCTTGTAGTATATCCACAGAGTTGTGCATAAATCACTG